CGCGCTCCAAGCGCGCGCACATACAGACTAGAAAACACACAATCAGAAAGAGAGAAGGCGGAACTTAAGGCAGAATAATCAGAGAGTTAAACCGCGCAGCACAGTTGAAGCGCTGCTATGTGAACGGGACAGGAAAGAGCAGGCAGCTGCAGCTACCAGGCAGAGGAGCTGCGAGAGGAAAAGAAGCGGCTGCTGTATAGTAAATTATAAACATGTTGTTCACATCCAATTATTGGTAGGGACAAATGGGTCTGTCCAAAATTTTGGTAGGGACATGTCCCTACGGTCCCTATGCAAACCTACGCCCATGAGTTGAACATAAAGAAATGCTACAGCTTTGATCTCTTATGTCTCATCATTATTTTCAGAAACCCCTTCCTAACTCCTCCTGTTTGCCTCACCGTCTTCATTTCCTCGCCTCTGCTGAGCTTCTCTCCGTTTCTTTATCTCAAGTTCTCACTCCAGAGTTTTTCTCAATATCCTCGCCTCCTTTTTCTTTGTGCTTCTTGAGCTTCAGTGTCTCGTTATTTCTCCCCCTTCTCGTTTTGCATTGCTGCAGTATCATCCGTGTTCTAGGGCGCTATATCTACAGAGAAGACAGTAGAGCTTTGAGGCCTTCTAGTTCTCATATCTGACTGTAGATTCAGTTAGTTTTAGACTTTAGACTTTCAGTTTTTGTTCATTGGAGAAGAAAGAAAAATAGAAAATATGTATTTAACAAAGCAGCTGATGGCAGCCGTGCTGTTAATGTAGTGGGATCTGTAGACCAGGGGGGTTGGAGTCATTGAGGGCTGATTTAATGCCTTGTTAACTACTACTCTGCAGGCTCGGCATTATCTTATGGGTGGCCCTCTTTTTAAAAAGCTTCAACTGTATTTTAAAGGTAAACGACGGCAGATTTGTGTTTGTTTTTTTCTGTATTTACAAGAACTTGTCAGAGGGCTCTGAAAAAGGAGTGGGCCCTCATCATTACAGATCTGCCACCATACCTACACTGCGAAAATGATCTACTCTAGAAATAAATAAACATTTCTTAAATTAAGCGTATTCACCCTTAATTTGAATAGGTAAATAAAATGATCTGCCAATGCAATGTTTTTTTTTTTTGCTCTTGAAATAAAATAATTAGATAATGTGCACTTGAAATAAGACAATGTAATTGGCTTTTTTTTCTTATTTTAAATGTAAATTGTCTTTTTCCATTGGCAAAGTGTCTCACTTTACTTCTCAATTAAAGAAGAAATGCAGTGAAAGAATGAGGAAGGACACTTTTACACATATTCTTTCTTGAAATACTGCTTGAAGCATCAGGGGTGTCTGGTATTAAAAGGTCTTAATCTTCGTCTGACCAAAGTGCACAGTATTCAAGCGTAGGGCTGAACGGTTTTGCTAAAAATCCAAGATGCAAATATTTTGATATACTGCAACTACGGTTCTATTTCGATTTATATATGCACCAATTCAAAGCTTGTTTGCTTCCATTGTTGTAGGAATTCATTGTAACCTTTTTGTGAAAAAGGGCTCACAAGTATTGCATGCATGGATTTAGCTGCAACTCTGTCTACGTTTTCTGTGAGGTGAAAAACTGGAGTGAGAACTTTATTGTCTTATTCTTGTTAAATGTAATGCAATTTGGGAATTGCCTTTTTTTTAAAATTGTGATTATATTGCAAATGCAATTATTTGTCCAGCCCTATTCAAATGTCCAGTAGAGTTTAGCAAACTTTTGGGTTTCTTATGGTGATGTGAGGACAGAAACATCCCTTTTCTTGAATGTGAGTTTCCCCAAAGAGTTTCACACAATCACACAATTAACAATGATAAATGAAATAAAAAAGGTCGATCAGAAACATTCTAAAAAGGTCTCTGAAGACAATTTGTTTTAATCTAAATTTGAAATTTTTATTTATTCACCATGAGTTGTTAAAAACATGACTTAGCTTAAAACAATTGGAACAGGAACACATCATGGCATGTTTGAAAACTTCAGAACCATTAATTTCTCTATTAATCTGGCAAGTAGTCAGTGAAACAGCTTTTAATCATATTATCTGAGAATTTGATCACTTTAAATAGTGTCTGACAGTCATTACAGACTGTGACCTTAAGATGAACCTCTAGTTTTTATTTTACTTTTTTATTAAAGTTATTTCCTTGTTCTATCTTTTTAGCCACATGTTACAGGTTTATGTAGATCTTGAAAATATTTCTCTGGCTCTTAATAAGGCAAATTAATATGAGTAACTTCTATTGATAAATGCATATTTGCACAGGATGAATAAAAAATTATCTTGTCTGACCCATTTCACTGGTAACAGTAAGTCATGGAGATATTAAAGTATATTAAAAATGTGGAACTGCTTAAAAAAAAAAAAAAGAAAATGCTTCTTTACATTTTGTTCTTTTTTAGTGACAATAGCATGAGTTCATTTATCTTCAGGTCGATTGTATTTTTTCTGGGTTGCGTATGTCCTTTTTCTGCTCCAGCACATCTGCAAAACTTTGAAAACGTTTTGTTCCAGACTTATAACAGAGACGTGTCAGTCCTCATAAAATCCTGCTGCGTGATTAATCTGGAAAATCTTTGTCTCTGTGTCTCCAACAGGTTTTTCCAGTCACAGACCTTCTGAAGAGGTCAAAGGTCAGTATTGATCCTGCCTTCTTTTTTCCCCCCCACATAAAAGTTTAGAAGCCTGTTGTTATGAATTCAGGTATGCAAAGTTTAGTTTGCTGCAAATGGTTTAAAAATGCAGTTGTAGCAAGAGACCACTAGAGGGCAGTACAGTATTTCTTTCCCTTTTATGGTGATAATTTCCACTGGATGTAAGTCAGTAAATAAAATAAAAAGATCTAAGATTGAAAGCAGGTTAATTTATCCTCTGATCGAGACTGTGTGTCTTTGTTCTTTAATAAGCGGTTTTTGTGCTGCAGTCCTGCAGTCATGTTTACAGAACAGAAGCTTTTCAAGAGGGATTTTTAACAGACATCAGTTGTTTTCTTATTTTTTGCAAAAGCTAGAATATGTTAGCTTCCATTCCAACATAGGTTAAATCCTAAGAGTCTGAAGGATGAGTCTCCTCCTTCTCCTTCCCGCTCTACTCCATTGCCTCCCCTCTCTGGCTGCTGATAGGGCAGACATGGAGTCAACAGAGGAGAGAAGCTTTCCGGAGGAGGAGGGAAGAGAGGGAGGGATGGAGACACAGTTTGGATGTGAGGGTAGAAACAAAGAAACGCTGCAGGTGTTGTAGAGTTAAGCATATGTCTGTTGCACGACTTTACTCAGCGGTGAAGTGTGATTAGCTGCGGCTGTCAGAGGTTCAGGGCTGGTTGACTGATTCCAGCTGAAGTTTTACCTCATCCTTCAGCAGCAGTTAACTTGATTTTAGAGAGTATCCTGGGGTTGAAATCATGGCCCTATTTACCAATGACGTGCAGAGTCTGGGCTCCTATTACTGCCTGATCCGACGCAAGTTTAAGAGGAGGCGGAAGAAGCGCTCTGAACGCAAAGGTAACCCAACACAGTTGTTGCTTTCAGCATTTATGATCCTGAGATGCAATGAAGTGTGCAAACCTTCAAAATGAAGCGTTTGGTGTTGTTTCTTTGGTGGCATATTGCTTTCTACTCCAAAGTAAAACACAGTCCAGAATATTTTGGTTCCTCTTTTTGTGTTTTATGTATATTGATTGATGTGTCGTATATATTTCTGTTAAGTTAACTTTAAAATGTAGGAATTGTCTGATTTTGTTCTTTTCCAACTATGGACAGTCAAAGAAAGGAAAGAAAAAGGTTAGGCTTCTTTCCTAAATTAAACGTATAACTGCTCAAATTGAGCTTTTGTTAGAAAATCTGCCTATTTTTATTTTATTTTTTAGGTCAGCCAGAAATTTGAATCCGCATACTTTTCTTTTTTTTAAATTTGTCATAACACACAAAAAAAAACAACAACAAAAAAACACACACACTAGAACATTGAGGTCCATTGGATGACGTGACAGGACTCGAAGTTCCCAAAAATCTATTTAATTTTTATATATTTCAATTAATGCATGTTTGATAAGTCAGCATAGATAGCAAAACAGGAAAGAAGTAAAATGACAAGTTTTATCTCAATGGTTTAATTTTTTTCCGCTCAGGTAAAACAGCTGTTAATATAAAATAAATCTCCATTCTTAGACTCCAAATACATGAAGAGATGAGGCAGCATGTTTGCCAACCAGTGAGAAGGATTATTTATTTCCACTTTAAGTTCCTCTTACCAGTAGCAGATTTAGATTTGAAATCAACATGTAACCTAGAAGTTTGTTACTAATTGGAAATAAGAGTAAAACGATAAAAAACCTGCTATTTTATCTTTATTCATTACTGTTTATATAATGTTTATATCATTACTGTATATATAATAATCCCTTTTTACTAATCAGGTTGAATTTTTTTTTTTTTTCTAATTAAAGGAATTAAACTCTTCCTGTAATTCCTGTCCAAGCAATTTAGTCTTGGACAGGTTGGAAGTCCTCTTTACCATTACCCTAATCTGTAGCTTCCAGTCCAGATTATCCGTCCCACTCAGGTCAGGGCTCTGAATGGACCATTGCAGAACGCAGATATCACTACCAATCAGAAGGGGGGTGTTGGTTGATTAAAATAAGGCTTTGGCTCAGTGGCAGGTTGAAGGTTTGAATTTAGGTTCCTCTTGTCTCTTGACGGCTCCCTTTTAATCCCAGGTAGCCCACCAAACGGCATCATGTTTTTCATGCCCTGTGCTTGAAAATGAAATAGTTTCCAGGTTAATATACATAAATAGTCATTCCTAAAACATTTCCTAAATCTGTAAAACAATCTGCTGTCTTAAAAAACAAAGAAAAACATTAAAAGACTGTCAGAAGAACATTTGGTCAACACCAAAACACAACAAAATGTGTTGGTTTCAAACATTAGAAAAATGGACAATTTTAACCCCAAAATAAAAAGATAAATTATTAGATCAACAGGTTATACATTTCAATTGAAAATATAGCAAATGCCAAATACATCAACCTTGTATATACATTATGTTTTTAATCAGTCTCTCCAAGACAGGATGTATTTGTTTTCTAACAGAGATGTAAAATTTTCAGCGCAGTAAAATGTCAGTGAGGATCGGAGCTCCGGATCCTGAGATTGTTAGAGAAGCTGCTCTGAAGTTTAAGCAGATTTTTGTCGCAACTTTTTCTAACTAGTAAACACAGTTTATAGTTTGATCTCATAGTTGATCAATCTAATAAAATTGTTTTCCATTCCTGTAGGGGAATAGAAGCTGGTTATGAAAACTTCTTCCTAAAGAACTGACTGACTTGGTTTGTCCTGATTTCTTTACACAAGTTTATTATTTTATTCCAAAGCTTGAAAGAGAAAAGTTTGGTTTTGTTTTCTTCTGTGAAAACCAGAACATGAATATCGATTCCTTTTTTTTTTGCCTGAAGAGACTCCAGAGATCAGTTTTCTTTGTCTCCTTCCTTCCATCCTTCCCTTCCGTCTCTCCGTGAGCACAGCGGGTCGTGGCTCATCATAATTGAAGTTGAATGACGAGAGCCCCTCAGAGCTCTTAGCCTTTCTCTCCTGAGTTTGCTGCTCTGCTCGGGGGGATTAACCAAACAGAGAAGGTAGTAATTACTCAGGTGGCCACAGCTCACCGGCAGTAATAGCCATGTCTCAGCCACTTGCTTTGACATCCACCAACCCCCTCCGTAGCACCACCTCACCTCTGCCGTCGAGTCCATTCATCCAACTAAACCTGCCTCTGCTGAAGGGGCATTTTTTTGATCCTTTGATTTAAAAACTCCAGGTCTGCTCGCTCCGAGTGAATATGTCTATCAGTATTACCCAGCTCTGTCTCCTGACTCTTCTTTTTCTCCTCTTACGCTTATCACCCAGGAAGGAAATTTACACTTTTCAGGACTACGAAGGTGACGAGGAAACAGGAGGAGTTTTGCTCCATCTCAACTTTAGCTTCCCTGCATTTTAGCTCCGTCTTAAATTCCTGGGTTTGCAAAATCTAATCAGAAAATCTCCCAGGTCCATGTATGGATTTTTTTTTTTTGTCAGTTTGTAATCTAGAGATGATCTTAACGTTTTCACATCAGTGATGTTTGTGCGTCATGGATTAGCTCAGCTCCAAGCAGCAGCAGACGTCCCTGTTATCCCCGTTTTATGACAACTGCATGCAAAACGCTGAGACCCTCAGGCGGCGGGTCGGAGAGAGATTAAAGGATACGGTTGTTCCATTGATCCAGTCTAAATCCAAACCTCAGTATGATAGAAATGCTGTGATATAGACTGAGGCGACATTTTTGGAGAAAAATAAACCAAAATGTCTCCAAATAGTTCAAAAGCTTGATGAAATCATGGAGAGATCGACTTCACGGTGCTTCTTTGGGTTATTGGATCATGGGTTGTAATGTCGTCGTTTAAAAAATAAATCTTGTCTGATTTTCGTACACTTAAAGTTAAACTTTACAAAGATTAAGAGATGTTTATTTATTCATTTAGAAATATACAAATTTAAACTAAAGAGTTATCTGAAGGCAAAAGTACAAAGACTGCCCTGAAAATATGTAAAAAAGAAAATGGCCATAACATTAGGTTATAAATTTCATATATCTTTTTTTCCTTGTAGCTACTTAAAGTGTCCCCTCTGATTGAATCTCCTCAATCAGCACAACTTTTGCCTAAAATGCGACTTCAGGAGCAGAAGTGTAAATGTTAACTATCCATAATGTCATAACAAATAGAAATATTTAGTCTGGAAAAGTTTGATTTTATTGTCCAAATATCTTTTACCAGTCACACTAACATTCGCCTCACCACCTAGCTAGATATTTTAACAGCTAATGTATTGTTATTCATCTTTTTTGCAGAGAGGCTCTAAAGCAGGGGTAACCAATAAAACAAAATTGGTGGGGTCCGAATAAAGAAAATCATCAACCAGTAAAGGTCTGGAGACATTTTAAATTATTACTTTATACAGAATTTAACACTGAAATAAAAAGCAGGTTTTTTTTTGCTTCCTTTTTTTCCTTTAATTATAATAATATTAAAAAAAATCTGAAGTGTTTTTTGAAGCGGAGAACAACAGTCGTTCAGTTTGGCGTATAGACAATTTCCTGATTCACATATTTTATAAAACACCTGAACTGACCCTTTTTTTTTTTTTCTTTTTCTGGCTTAATGGGAGCAGTGGGCTTTATTCTGACCTGCATGGCTTAAACCTGGTTTGAATGGAGACAAAGCCATTCTCAAGCACATATCAAGGTGCTCATTTTAAGCTTGGATCCATATTTGTTTTTTAAATTCTGTTCATGGTGGAGAATCCTGCTTCGCAGCAGCAGGTTGAGCCAAACATACTCTAAATGTGCAGGGTCATCTTTGAGCACACCGTTTCACTTTTCTTTCATCAGTTCACCAGTTTTTTCAGCAGTCCTTACTTTCTCTGCTCTCTTTTTCTCATAATCTTCTCCTTTTTCCTATCACCAGGCTTTCCAAAGGTTTGTCTTCTGTGTCTAAAAGTAACTAGCAGCAGCAGCAACCCAGACTGACAGAAGCTCATTGGCTCATTTTTATCACGTGCAGCCTGATGCTGGATGCGCCATACGGCTTTACCATATTAACTGAAGAAGCAGCGCAGAAGTTAGACACTGTCGTCGGACAACATCCAGTAATTTATAAATGTTTTAAATCAGTTTGGGTCCAGATCAGCCAGCAGGTTGGGTCCGGATCCCAAACGCGGTCCGCTAAACCGTGACCTCTGCTGTAAAGTAATTATGATTATTGGAACTTTTTCTTTACTTCAAGCTTTAAACTGAATTTAAAGAAAATTCAAATCAAAGCCACATTTAATGTTCTGCTTACTAAAGTATTATCATTTACTTTTAGATACGTTGTTTTTATGTTTTGTACAGATGTGTTGATGACACAGTTCTCTGTTGCTGCTCACCTTTGGTTTCTGGATATAATCTAGGCTGAAATATCCACCGGACTCTATGTGAAGTATTGTGATTTAGTTCTCGGGGCATTAATATACACTGCGGAGTGACTTTTAAAAGAGTGAACTTAAGCACATCTCTGGTGGATCTCACATAAATGTGCCAAATCATGACACCTGGAGATGATGCTTTGCAATGGGCCGTATATGAAAGATGGAAAATGGGGAACAGAGGCTTTTTCTGCAACGCCAGCAGAATTTCTAAAATGAGCTTTTGCAACTTGAATAGTGTGTGTGTGTGTGTCTACATTGCCTGATGCTTCAAATCCATCGCTGTGAGGAGAAAGACTTTTCCTGCTGCAAATTTTCCTTTCCTTCTTTTTCTTAACTTCGTCGTTCACTACTCCCTGTATTTTTCCCCAAGGATTTATACATATCTGAATGGTTCTTATGAATGCCTTAATTTATTTCTTTATTTTAAAGAAAAAAATAGATTATCGGGCCTCAAAGAAAAACTTCGATAAACTGATTAACATTTGACATCCACACC